CGACGATGTGACCAAGTTCGGTTATTTGACGACGAGCAAAGTGGCATTTCGACGAGGTAAGTTGAAGTCTGGTTTGACGAAAAACTTCAAGAATCACTGATAAACGCTTGGGTTGAGAGTCAACTGTGGGCGAGAAAACGATAACGTCGTCTAAATATCATAAGCAGGTTGACAATATAAACCCTTGGAGCAATGAGTCTATCATTCTTTAGAATGTGGCCGGTGCAGTAGAGAGACCAAAGGGCATAACTTTGAAGTTATAAAGCCCGTCAGGAGAGACGAATGCGGTCTTCTCACGGTCCATCTCGTCCACAGCGATCTGCCAATAGCCAGATCGAAGGTCGATAGTGGAAAAATACGTAGCACCATAGAAGCAGTCTAAGGCATCGTCGATTCTAGGCAAAGGGTAAACATCTTTCTTTGTAATTTTGTTGAGATGCCGAGAATATACACAAAAGCGCCAAGTTACATCCTTATTTCTGATCAGGACGACAGGAGAAGCCCAGGGGCTACAAGAGGGCTCGATTATGTCTTTTGCAAGTACCTTTTAGACTTCCTGTTGTATGACTGTGCGCTCGGACGCGGAAACACGGTACAGACGTCGGTGAATGGTACTCGCGTCACCAGTATTGATGCGATGAGTAACAACACTCTTTCGGCTTGAAGCCGTGCTGGGGAAGTCGCAATTGTCACTATAGGACTCCAGGACGTGACCAAGGGCTTCCACTTGATCAGGAGCGAGGTCTCATGGTACTATGTGGGCAACGTCGACCCCCAATGATCGTGATAGAGTTGCTTTATGGTCTGAGGTGCAGCAATCATCCACTCTGAAAGGTTCAACCGTATGGCCTTGTAGAGCAGTAATTTCGGCCAGGGAGATACCTTGTGGAAGAATTTGGGCAGTGAGGGCAAAATTGACAATAGGAAGGCATGTGCGGTTTTCAACAATTGTCAAAATGGTGTGCGGAACAGCGACGCCATGCGTAAGCATCACGGCGTGAATTGGGGCCACCATGTAATCGCCGTCTGGTACAGGTGTTGTAGAAAAGAAGTAGATATGTGTGACACAGTTTTGCAGAAGGCGCGCGAAATCAATGCAGCAAAGGCGACTTTGGGGTGGGTTGGTCAGATCAGAAAGTAGAGGCATTTCAAGGTCAAGACAGCCGGTTGAACAATCTATAAGGGCCGAGTGAGCGGTTAGAAAATCCATGCCTAGAATTGCTTCATGAGGGCAATTTTCTATAACGGTGAAAAGAACAGCAGTGCTTCTATCGGCTATAGTCACACGGGCACAGCACATGCCAATAATTGCGGCAGTTCTCCCGTCGGTGACTGGAACGGCTCGGTTCAAGGCGGGTGTGATAACATTCTTTAGAGAGCGACGAAGAGCAGCACTCATTATGGACACATGTGCGCTGGTATCGATCAACGCGCGCTCGGGTACAATGTCTAAAGTAACGTTCAACAGATTTCGGGTGGTCGGTAATGCTACACGAGGATTTCTTGCAGAGGTCGTCGTCAATGATGCTTCACCTCCAGAAGCTGCACTGCCTAGTTTTCCGGTCGGGGGCGCTGCGAATAGGTCGGAGAGGAAGGACGGCGTTGTGGGGGCGAACGAGATTGACGGCGAGCAGGGGATGGTGAGCGGGCGTAGCGAGGTCTCGTCAGAGGTGTGGCAGAAACAGAGGATGTGGTCGGCATAGGGGAATCAAAATCAAATGTCGATGACAACTGGTGGACCGAAGTGGCCTGGGTAGGAGGCCCATAGTGTGCCGTCGGAGCCCAGTGATTGCGGCAGTGGCGAGCAATATGACTGACACGTCGGCAGTTGAAGCATATGGGCTTGTCGTCCAGCGTACGCCATTCGGACAAATCGCGCTGTCGAGAGTAGTGGGAACCAAATCGAGGAGCGGAGGGACGACAATAAAACGGCTCGGCAGAGTAGACTGGTTGAATGGGGTGTAGGCCGACGTTCAATAATTCTTGACGAAGGACGGCTTGTATCAGTGAGATTGTGGTCGGTGAAGGATTAGGCGCTGGAAATGGAGTAGCTACTGGTTGGGCTGCCTCGACCTCGCGACGAATAATGTGGGTGAGGTTGTCACATCGGGAAACTGGGCGGACGGCGTCATCACAAGAAGTAGCAGCTGCGTTCGGCAGGCGCGTGATGCCGTGGGTGACGCGGCGGGCTTTAGCCTGTTCTAGACGGCCGCATTCTGTCAGGATCGTGTCGATGCTCGTGACATTATTAAAAACCAGCAGGTTGAAGGCATCGTCAGCAATCCCTTTGATGACGTGATTAACTTTTTCTTCTTCTGACCTGCGCTGGTCGACCTTGCTACAAAGCGCCAAGACGTCAAGACTGTATGAGACGTACGATTCAGTAGACGTCTGGGCGCGAGTGGCGAGAGTCTTCTTGGCAGCAAGCTGACAACCAGAAGAATCGCCAAAAAGATCACGGATCTTTGATTTGAAAACATCCCAGCTTGTGATTTCGGCTTCGTTGGTTTCAAACCATGGCCGCGGCGTGCTGTCGAGCTAGAACACAACATTGGCGAGCATGAGCGTGGGATCCTAGCGGTGGGTAGCACTGACTCGCTCGTACCGGTGCATCCAGGAGTCAACGTCGATGGTACCGTCAGCGGAGAAAGTTCCAAGGTCGCGCAGGGGTGGCAGGGTGACGTAGGTTGTCGACTCGGATCGAGAGACCGGTGGGGATGAGGCACTGGCAGTTGAAGTAGACGAAGAGTCCCCGGTGTTGCGACCGCTGCGCGTCTCCATCGAGGTGCGGGAGTCGTCCACCTCCACCAATATTGTTACGGGTAACTTATTTATTAAACTAAATACGATGCACGGTGCTCGGCGAACAAGATGGCGACAGTTCATCAACCAGCCACCAACGTCGTCTTTCTCTTTCTTGCAGCCAGACTGTGCCGGCTGTTGTGTATCAATATTGCGATCGTGGCCATTTCACTAGCTTCACAGATACCAAATTTGGTGCGAAGTAACGTCAATGGACATCGACGGTATATGACTGGTGCAAGCATGATAACCATGACATGCGTATCATGTAAGAACATGACAGCCTAGCCGCTCATGATGCGCTTGCGGCCGTTTTACTAGCTCCACTTATACCAAATTTGGTATCACGTCACGTGAATCGACGACGAAGGTAAATGACACGTCGAATAATGATAATCATGACATTCGTGTCCTGTAAAGCATAACTATATGCTACGCTCATAGCGTACTCGTGGTCGTTTCCATAGTTCCAGATATACTAAATTTGCTATTACCTTACGTGAATTGACAACGCATGTAAATGACAGGTCCAAACAGGATAGTCATGGTATGCGTGTCATGCAAAACTTTACTGCATCCTGCGCTCAAAGCACGTCATTGCCGTTTCGCTTGCTCTACATATACGGATTTTAGTATTCGGTGATGTGAATAGATGGTGATGGTAAGAAACATGTCCTAGCATCATAACCATGAGATGGAAGTCATGTGCTATCGGCGTTAAATGAAATTCGAACAGCGCCGAGCCTTCGTAATGGTATAGTGCGGGCCGTTCACTTATCACTTTTGGCAGTCACACACTTATGCGCAGTGATGCCGAGCAAGATGTGCGTGCCTGTACCTGGCCGACAAAAGTGGCGATGTGGGCTTGTTGGTTCGCCTCACGCTACAAAAATTGCCTGTACGTGGGGATGACTGGACGGCAAGCACTATAGTATCGCGAAGGCTTGCAGCTGTTCTGCCTTCATTTGACGCCGATAGTAATGTACAATTTGCTTGCGCCTCGTAACGGTGTGCTGATTTTGAAGTGACATATTGACCTTACCCATTCATGTTTCGCATATCATCGATTCCCACTGTACGGGGAATCTGCCAATTCGTTTATCATTTAGAATAACTAATTTGGTAGTGATTTGGCTGAATTTATCTTTAGTTTTCTTTCTTCTGAGCTAATGTATTTTCAATCTGTTCTGTATTTCATAAAAATAACTGTAACCTTATAAAAATATGAGTTCTTCATTTGCCAATGAAGAGTCAAGGGCAATAAATTAGGAAATGAAAAAAAAAATGGAACGCCAGAACTGTTGGAACGCTACAGTCAGTGCAGTTAGTGACCCCGCCATAAATTGCTGGCTCATAGCCTCCTACATTTTTTCATGCACGCGCAGTGGAGTGGCGGAGGCCGTCCGCCGCCCTCTCTCTTCCTCTTCGATTTACGCCTACTTTCTCCGCCAGTGGCGCTCGCACCCCATACTTGCCCGTAGATGCTCTGGAGCGTACCAAGCATAGTCAGCATAGCAGCATAGTTCGCTTCGCTGCAACGCGTTGAGGCACCTCGAAGCCCTCGAAATACCTACAAAAGTGGCTCTACAAGCAAAAGTTGTTCCGTGTCCGTCGTGTTTGCCGCAGGTAAGCTTGTGTCTTGCGGAAGCAACGGTTATTATCATGTTTTTTTGTTTGGACTGTCAGGGAAGCATGACAGAACTCGCAGAGAATGTGTACAGTGCTCGCTGTAAAGGTTCCAAAACAACAAATGGTATATGCAATTTAACGTAATAAGAACGCAATATCGCTGCAAATCTGACCGCTAATGTTAACGTGGTCTCTGGTGTAGGCGTAAGAGGCAGCCCTACGCTATCGTAGCACAAATTCGGAACGCTGCAAGTGGAAGTACGTTTAATACATAGCTTTAAATTGTTGCTTTTAATTCCTTGAGCATTTTACACTGAATTATTTACATGAACGTTTATTGTTGTAACAGCGTTCTGAACCTTAAGGTTCAGTGCCACTGAATGAAGCTACCGTTTGTTTACTATTCTACGGGACCATGTGTGAGTTGCTAGCGCCGTCACAATCTATATTGTTTGCTACTCTAAAAACTGTGATTTACGGTGCATATTCATGCTGCATTACTTTTCACATATAAATGCGGTTTTCTATCAGCAGTGTGGAATCAGTAAGGGTGCTCTGTAACCGACGAGATGCCGTACTGTTGCGTACCACGCTGCAAGTCTTCGAGCAAACAACGGACGCCGGGCATATCGTTCCACGAGATACCAAGTGATCCGGAACTTCGAGCGAAATGGCTAAAGGTCTTTTCTCGGGACGACTGGACACCGAATACGCTGTCGTGCTACTCGACTGTATGCAACCGACACTTCGGTTCCTCCGACCTCAAGGAGGGCTGCAAAATTTTCAAACTCAAGAAAGACGCTGTTCCCAGCATTTTCGAAGAGTATCTGCCGTACCTGCAGTCTCCGAAAAAGAGAGAGAGAAGCGACGTGTCTGTGAGGAAACGCGAGGCAGCTGCGCCAGTGAACACACCACTGCGGAAACGAAGAGCAGTTGAGAGCCAACTGGAGACTCCTTCACTTCCTCGCAATGGCTTGCCGTCTGTCGATGTCGACTCTCAAGATTTATCACAGATGATTCGCACCGCAAGCGAACTGCCGTTACCTCTGGAAAACAGCGCAAGCAAGCGCTGCATTAGTGCGACCATGCAGGTGGACAGAGCTGTGCAGGTGTCGTCATTATCCTCGGTTTCAGCAATGGTCAAACGAAAGTGGAGACGTAAGGAGCGAGATTTGAACGCGGGAATAGAGCGGCTCAAGATCACCATCGACAAGTACAAACGCAGGAACTGCAAAACCTCAAGGAAGAATACTATGTGTCTGCATTCCTGAAAGTTGTGGAGAAAGTGAAAGAGAAAAACCTGGCTGCTTCAATACTAGTGGAACAAGGTCAGAGTTTCGCGAAGAAGAAACCAACGTGGTCTGAGCTGACAGTACGGCATGCTGTGGTGTTGCGTAACTTCTCGACTCGTGCATACGAACACGTAAGGAACACAGGTATTCTTCGGCTTCCCTGTCGAAGTACCATCGAGCGCTCTATGGGCTCATCACGTGGAGAAGTTGGCGTGACCGAACTCGTGAAGCAAAGGCTGTCTGCAGAACTCGCTTCTCATCCCTCGTTGCAAGCGAGGGCATGCTCTCTATTTGTAGACGAAATGCGAGTCAAACAACGGCTATATTATCACAAGCAAAGAGATGCCTTCATCGGTGAGGTGAACTATTGTGTGAACTTTTCCAAAGAAACAACAAATGGGCCTGTGCTGGCCAACCCACTCTTGTGTTTCGTCCTTGACGGCCTTTCAGCTTCGTTCAAAATACCCGTGGCGTACTTTTTCACGAGAAACTGCACAGGCCGTGAGCTGCACATGCTCAAGAGACACGTTCTGAAAGAAGTTGAAGAAATATGGTTTATCGTCGTGCGCATTGTCACAGACAAACACAAGATCAATGTCTTGGCTATGCAACTTCTGTGCAATGGAATCCTCAAGCATTGCACTGAGCACCCTGGAAAACCGAATCGAAAGCTCTTTCTTGCATTCGATCAGTGCCACCTGATCAAAAACGTGCGATCACAGTTTTTGTCCCGTCACATCGGAAAAGGCGGCGAAATATCATCGAACCATTTGAAGAGCCTCTACAAAATGCATCGAGGCAGCCTTGTAAAGCCAGTGCAATTTTTGACGAGAAAGCACGTATTCCCTACGAATATGGAAAAAAAATGAACGGGCAGAGACCAGTGCAAGTGTTTTCTCCTCCCGTGACAACTGCACTGAAGCTCTTGCAAAAACAGGCGGGCCACACGTGCAACGCAAGATTCGCGGGTTTCGGAGCAACGATGCAATTTATGGACACCGTGCACCGCTGGTTCGTGCTCATGGACGTGAATAACTGTACCCAGAACATACATCAGAAGAAGGCAGACTGCAAGCAATTTGAATCTGCAGGCGATGAACAGCTAATCTGGCTGGAGACAAGTTTCCTCGACTACCTGGCCGATCTCAAAAGTCAGTGCCTGGCAAACAACTTCCTAACCAAAGAGACTTCCGAGGGTCTTGTGATCACAACTCGTTCGAAGGTAGAGTGCATTAGATATCTTCTTGAAGAGATTTCTTTTCACTTAGTTTTGAAAAGGAAAACATCATCGGACCCTATAGAGTCGTTCCTTGGCTGGCTGAGGAAATCAGCAGGATCAAATGATCATATGGACGTCCGTGCCGTGCTCACAAGCATTGAGAAAGCCCTCAAGACCGGTGTCGCATCGGCGTCGAGTACAAGCAACATAATGGCAGCAGAAGAGAGTAATTGCTTGTCAATGCTCCCGCAACATAAAAACACAAGGGTGCAAACAAGCGAGGAATTCCCTGCAGATGCACGTATAGAGCTCATAGAGCGGCTAAACGGAGATAAGCCTCTATTTCCCACTCTAGATGTGGCCGCATTGGCTATGGTCGGTGGCTACCTCGCAAGAGCCGTATGAGAAAACATTGAATGTGAGGAGTGCTTCGCGCTCTTTACAAAGCCAAGTGCCTCCACCCTATCGGACTCGCTCATTAAACACCAAGACCGTGGTGGACTTCTTTATCCGTCCGCAAAACCTCTAGATGTTCTCTACGCACTACAGTAGTTCGTCGAAGTTCTTCTAGCGACAAGGAGGCGTATGCATCACCCTCTAAAGAAGGCTGTAAACAATGCTGCTGAAATCCTCCGCGAGCACAAAGCTTTGATGTGTTCGAAGCCAGGGCACCAGGAGAATTTCCTCAAACTGTTGCTGACAAAGTTCTTCCGCCCAATATTCACCAACTTCGCTCTGAAAACGACAGACAAACATGACATCACCAAATGGTTCGAAATAAAGCCGCTTTCACGAAAGACCCTGAAACTGTGAGCTTGATCTTACAGCTGGGGGCCTAAGTGAAAGGTCCAGTTTTCACAATACGTCTCGTGTTGCTTGCTTTCAATGTACTTGGAGATGAAAAAAACGCGAAAAGTGCGGCATTTACATTCTCTGCTGTTTCAAATTTCTCTTCGGGTTGTTGTATCCTGCATGATAATTAAAAGCCACTAGAATAAAACTATTCTAGCATATTTTATTTTTATTTCTACAGCTTCACAGCGGGATGCAAAGATCGCGCCGCACTGTTCACATTTTTTTCTATCACCCCTGTGCTTCATAAAGAAACACCAATGCAACCTGCGCATTTATTTTACAGCTCCATCTCTAATACGAACGCAAGTTTCTCTCCAAAAGCACGCGCGCAACAGCGTAGTCGCATTGTCAGCTCTGGGAGTGGGTATGGGGTGACAGCGCCGTGTGGTGGCGAGCGCATGAAATAGAAGGTACGGGCGCGGTGCCTTGCTCCGCTCCCCACTCGGCGGGCATGAAAAAATATAGGAGGCTATGGCTGGCTACAAGGTAGTGCATCTGATCAGAAAATGGCTGTATAGCATATATGTTTGATTTATTATTTAGTATGGTGACACCTGAGCAGGTTATTACGACGAAACTAAACAGTTTCTTTCATTACAGTATTTTTAGTTGTTTTTGTTTGTTTTTAAAAGCCGGAAGGCGTAGCAAAAGTACTAGGCTCTAACGTATGAGAATGGTCATGATATTCACGAACGTCATCTTGCTTCAATACTCTAGTTGATCTCATGTCGGCAAAGTGTGCAGGTCAAGTGTTGTAACAGGTATTCTTTTTCTAGCGCTTCAAAAAACTTTCAACTTGTTCCTTCCTGTAGTGTTGTCTGCGTATAGTGTCTGCTATCTTGGAATTAGTGTTCACTTCGTCAGCGGTTGCATACGGAGTAGAAGGCAACCTTTGTCCGAGGAGAAGTTCGGCTTGTGTTAAAGTACAAGGTTCTCCTGCATCTGTCTTGATGAAAGTCCGAGGCCTAGAATTCAAGACTGCTTCGACCTCAGCCAGCACTGTTTACATTTCTTCGTAGTTTGGACGAGCTTTCCCGATAATTTTTTGCAGTGGAAGCTTCAGGGATCTTACCAGGCGCTCCCATCATTCACCCCACCAAGGAGCATTTGGTCCAATAAACTTCGACGAAATGCCGTTGGTGCTGAAGTGACCAGCGACGTCCTCTTTAGAGACCACTAGGTGTAGTCGCCTTATGTCGACCGGTGTCCTGTGAAAGGCTCGTGCGTTGTCAGAATAGATCACCATAGGTAGTCCTCTCTGAGCTCTAAATTGTCGTAGGCATAGCAAGAAAGCCTCAGATGTCGTTTCCGAGACAATCTCGAGATGCATGGCTCTAGATACGGCTCACGTAAAAAGTTCAAAGTAGCACTTGGTGTCCCCTTTCTCCGTACGTGCGAAAAAAGGGCCCGCGGAGTCGATTCCTTTCACCCCGAATGGGTTCGTTCGTGAAACTGGATGACTTGCCGACGGAGGAGTCTCCGAAATTTCTGGGCCCACGCTGAAACGCTTGCATTTGTTGCATTCATGCAGCACTCTCTTCAGCTAAGTGTGAGTTCGACAACTCTGGTAGTGTTCCCGAAGTTGGGAAAGTGTGTTTCTTACTCCTCCATGTAGAGCTTGAAGATGGGCTATGTTGGCCAAAAGTGCCGAAAAGTGGTGGCTTGACGGCTTTGAAATTGGGTGCTTGATATCTTGTGGGGAATTCGTGAGCGATAAACGGCCTCCAACCTGACGATTTGCGTCTTGGTCCATGCAAGGGCGTAATTCAGCGATTCGAGATGTAGACTCGACTGGTCGGCCTTCGGTCAAAGCACTGAGCTCTGCAGAAAGCCTGTCTTTTGAGTAGAGCTTATTCAATACTGTTCAGCGTTCAGGATTTATGTTGCCACGAAATGTCGAATGTGATCCACCCTTTTTCTGCAGCGGTAAGTAAATCTGAAAAACCCATACAGTGACTCTGAGTAGGTGCTGAAGCCTGCTTTCGATTGTCATTGTCAGATGTCGATTATGAAAATTGAAAAGCGTGTCACTAGTGCGACGTGGACTCTTGCAACTTCCCCTCGGGTGACTTCCGCTATGTCCAGTTCACTGAACTGTAGGGGCCGTTCAGACATCCATCTAGCTAGCCACTCAGAACCATGCAACCATTTTGAGCTGCACAGCAGTCTGTCAAGCGTCACAACACGCGTGAGTAGGTCAGCCGAGTTGGCTGGTGCAGGGCAGTATCTCCACATTGAGGGATTTTTTGTACACCTACTTTCATTGACTCCGTGGGCTATGAACTATTTCCACTTTTTAACGTCACGTTTTATGCATGGGAACTCTGACGGAATCTCTCCACATCGTGTCGTCAACTTGAAGATTCATTAAACCACTCTTCACTTTTGCCAACATTCTTGCGCCGATTAAGGCACCCACAAACTCCAATTGCGGCCGCGTTGTCTCCCTAATGGGTGCAACACGTGACTTTGCAATCACACGCTGAACTAGTCAGCGATATACCTCCAGATGTGACAAAGTTATATTACATGCCACACAAGGAAATCATCTGTGAACAAGCGCTGACGATGAAAATTAGAGTGGTGTTTGACATTTCATCACATGCCAAAGGAGGCAAGTCCTTCATGACTGCTTTGAAAAATTGGACAACTTTTACCAAGACCACGTGCGAATTCTGCTACGCTTCAGAATGCACCCGGTGGCAGCGATCGCAGACGTGGAAAAGGCATTCCTTCACATTGCGATTTCGGAGGACGACGGAAATGCTTTCCGCTTTCTGTGGTTCGCAGAGGGAGATTTATTCAAGGGCAAGCTGCAAGAGTAGAAGATGACGCGAGTGCCTTTCGGAGCTACATGTTACCCATTCTTGCTCTCAACTACTGCTCTCTACCACGTAAAAAGAAC